GGGAGGGGGGGTTTAGTTTATTTAAGGTTTTATTGTGTAAATCTGTATTGGTTTATGTTGTTTTTTTCTTCGTTATGTTTGAATGCTGAATGAAGCTCTTTCCAGAGCTTGCACTCGACCAGCATTACGCTCAGATTGACACAACTCTTGTCTTGACCTTTTCAGTAATTAATATTAATATACCGGTAGGCTACATCATTGACCTATCTATGGCCGCACTACCTCTGGCTTCCCTCCACTAACCTCCTGATTGTTGTGTGTGTGTTGGCCTATCTCTATCAATTGTTAGTCCAGCCAGGTCCAGTTTATTGCCCCGCAGATGTACTGAACTCTAATCTTGTGGTGTGTGGTTTGAAGGGAAAAACAAACAAAAAGTGATTTATTATAGACGGTTGTCTTTATTTTACAGTCTGATTAGAATCAAAATTATCTTTATTGAAATTTAGAATTACACGAAGACGATGAGAAAATGAGAGCAACTGTCTTTCCAAATAATATTCCTGAAAGCCATATAGAGTGCGTACAATAGTTAAAAAGTATAAACTCAGTTATTGTATACATGTACAGTTTTATTGATTTTGACACCCCACCCAACCCCACTCCCTACCCCTTCCTTACTGGAACGAAAGTGAGAAAATGTTACTAAACTGCTGTACTGGAACTCAGGTGTATGATACCCAGTCCTCTTGAAACAACACGTACAGAGTGTATCAAACATACAGGCTTACTCGTAGTCGTAGAGGCCTACAACAGTTTGATGAAATCCAAATGTTTCATTATGCCGTACCGGTATGTACATTTCATTTTAGTTTGTGTGAGTGCATTTGTGTAACTTTGGTCGGACTAGCTGGTTACTTTTTAAGGGAATAGTAGATGAAATAACAGATGCGGGGTTAAAAGTTTAAAATCTGTACCTCACTCGGTCTTTGTCCCTATCTCCCTGTCTCTCAAACTACAATGCGCACATCCAGATAAGTCTAGTCTCAGATGTTAATTAATGTTTAAAGACACGTTAAACCCATACGATGTCCTATTATGTCCGTTACTAGTATTCTTCTACCATGTCATTTTATTTATTCATGACACCGGGAAGAATTCTGACATGAAGTTGATGAAGTGAAGTTGTGTTAAATATACGCTTGTTAGTCTATGTTCTGCAATTACAGTTTATTTAATTATGAAAGTTTATGTTTAGTTCCATTTGTTAGGGGTACGCCTTTCTGTTGTACATGTATATATGATTTTCATCCCTAACATAAAAGTGGACTTTGCTTAACATGAACCCTGATAAAACAAAATGTTTGACGATAAAGCCTTTTTAACATGTATTTTACGGCCATACTGGGGAAAAGGTGGGAATATGAGGGTATGATTCTGATTGAGACCCTCCAGTTAGTATTATTACTACCAAATCGTGTTATTTTATTTTGTTATTGTTACAAATGTATCATCTTGAGCAAAGTTCACTTCGATTTTTTTTCCTTTTCAGTAACAATCTTATTTTGATATGTGATTATTTAGTCTTGCAATCATATCATTCTATTTATTTGACTGCTCAGTCCCCCTACAGGCTGATTTTTGTTGAATTTTGTTCAATAAATGCAATGCGGGTTTTCCCCAACTTGAAAGGAAACTTTTCTTTGTGGCGTTCAATATTATACATTTTATCTGTTGTGTGAATTTTGAGGTCCAACCAAAGATCATATGATCATTGGTCCAACATATTACAAAACACAATGCATGAGGCTCTCATGGCCTAGAGGTACGGTGTGCGCTTTTCATTCATCTTAAATACTCTAGTCAGTAGAAAAACCATCACTGGTGGTCACATAGTATATTCCACTAATTGTAGGTCATGTTGTGGGTTGTAACCTGTCTGGTGTGCGGTGAAAAGAGCAAAAATTTGATGTTTAACGCTCCTTGCGCAACACTGTAATGTTGTTTAAGAGACAGGATCTTCAAATATAACGTCGACTCCAAAAAGACTAAGCCAAATGGAAACATTGGTGAAAGTACCTTTCTCAAGGACACAGTATATTACAGTGTTTGTATTTCCGATCATGTGTCCGTCAATGCAGAAAGGTTGTAAATGGTCAACACCTCCACGAACACAATTTAAAT